TTTTTCAAAGAAAAATGGTTTAAAAAATAGGTAAATTTGGCTTCTGGAAAGATACAGTAGAAATACTTTTCCCTAGTCCTCCAGGTAAGTACAACTAAAAACCCTGAACATTATTTATAAAACAAATATAAAAAGACTTGTAATGGTGAAAAGAAAGAAGACTGGTTAGGAACCTTGGGACCTGAGGAATGACCCAGCAGTGAGTTCCTGGATTTACTTTTTGCTTCATATATCAATGATGTTGGGAAAGCTGGTAATCCAGATGCACCAATGGATACAGACAACAAAAGTCCTGAGAAAAGACTTCTCTCTAGCCAAAGGAGTGTGAAAGGGGCAGCCTAGCAAGCCAGAAAATTTTTAGAGAGTAACCACTCTACTTCAGCCAAACACCACAGAAAAAGCTGCAACTCTACTCATACCCAAAACATCAAAGGCCAAGGGGGAGCCTAGACTTCCCCCCTTGTCAGGCTCTAGGGAGGTACACCAAGACCATTCACCAGGTTGGTGTCAGAGAATGCTGAGTAGACGGATGGGGCTTTCATATCCACTGACCAAAAATGAAACCCAAGCACTGTGATATCAGTTGAGATCATGAAAGGAGCTTGGGCTTTCACCCAATCATATCAAGAGAGGCTCAGTGGGGGAACCTTGACTTCCACTCCCAGCTGGCAGTAATAAGCAGTGCCCATACTTCCTCTGATGTTTCAGTATCATAAGATGCCTGCCAAAACAGACTATTTGAATGAGATCCAGAGTGTCGTAACATAATACAAAAAATGCCATGTTTCAATTGAAAATCACATGCTATTCCAAGAACAAGGAAAATCTCAACTCAATAAGAAAAGACAATTAATAGATGCCAACATCAACATAATGGAAATGTTAGAATTATCCAACAACGGTTTTAAAGCAATCATCACAAAATGATTCAAGAAGAAATTACAAGAATACTTAAAACAAATAAAAAATATAATGTCCCAACAACAAAATAGAACATCTCAGCAAAGAAACAGAAGATATAAAGAATAAGTAAACAGAAATTTTAGAACCGAAAAGTTCAATAACCAAAACAAGTAAACAAAAACCAAAACAAAATAAAAACTCAACAAATGAGCTAAAAAGCAAAATAGAGAGAACAGGGGAAAGAATCCATCAGCTAGAACAATAGAAAGTATATAATCCAAATATCACAGAGAAACTAGATTGGAAAAAAGTTCAACAGAGCCTAGGAACTTGTGGGAGTATAACACATATCTAACTTTCATGTTGTCAGAGTTCTGCAAGAAAAGGAGAAAGAGGGTGGAGCTGAAAAAATATTTTTAAAAAATGGTGGAGTATTTCCCCAAATTAGCAAAAAACATCAACATAGATATCCATGAAGCTAAATAAATCCCAAACAGGATAAACCCCAAAAAACCCATGCCCAGGAGTATCAGAGTAAAACTTCTTAAAACTAAAGACAAATTAAAAATTTTGGAAGCAGCAAGAAAATCCTTAAATATTAGGAATAGCAAGTCAAATGATAATAGATTTCTCATTAGAAACCATGGGGCCAGAAGGAACTGACACATTTTATTTTTAAGTAATTAAAGAAAACATCTGTCAACTGCAAATTCTGTATCTAGTGAAATCATCCTTTAGGAATTAAGAAAAAAAATCACAGCATTTTCAGATGAAGGAAAATGAAAATAATTTTTCACTAGCCAACCTACCTAAAAGAATAGCTAAAGGAAGTTCTCTGAAAAGAAGAAAATAGTAACAGAAGGAATTTGGAACATTAAGAAGGATGAAATAGCATTGTAAGCAAAAATATGGGTAAATGCAATAGGTCTTCCTTCTCTTGAGTTTTCTAAATTATGTTAAATGGTTGAAGAAAAAACCATAACACTGATGTAGTTCTCAATGTGTGTAGAGGGAATACTTAAGACAATTATAAATATGGAGGATAAAGAGAAATAAAGGAAGCAAACAGTTCACTGAAACTGGTAACATATTGACACCATTACACCAGGATAATTTATGGACATATAATGTAATACCTAGAGCAACCACTAAAAAAGCTATACTAAGAGAAGCACTCAAAAGCATTA